GTGTATGAATATATATATATGCGTGTGTGTATCTAAATATATAAATATATATACATACATATATATCTGTTTATGTATATGTGTGTACATGTTTATATATATATATATATATATATATATATGTAAATGAGTATATATATATATGTGTGTGTGTGTGTGTGCCTGTATGTGTGTGCGTAAGTGTGATTCATATAAGAAAAATATTGTACGTTATTCTGTTATCAATATTTTGTTAACCCTATCGAAGAACCCTCTCGAAATAACAGTCAAAACGGGAAATGTGCTACTCATAACTCTGCATTTAATTTGAATTTTATTGAAAATTTAACAATTGAGAGAATTAATTATAAATTCTTGTTAATGAAATATCTATGAATATGTCATTGAGATTTTTACATAGTAAACACCTTTAAATCAATGTAAATATAATGAGTAACGTTTCAAATTAAAAGTGATCAGAGGTAAGACATTATATTTTATATCTATCAAGAAATTCAAATTATAATTCATGATCATTTTATTTAATAAAATATATCATTAATTTAAAGTTAAAAGTCGTATAATAACATTTTATTAAGTTTTGACATTGTTTTCCTTAACAATTATAAAAATCTAGTTATTCATTAATTGAATTAAATCATGAAACATTAAATGATATAATAATTCTTCTCGGTAAACACCCCCCCCAAAAATCGAACACACACGTATATGGCTGTGTGCGTTTTCGTCTGTGTGTTTTTCGAGATTATTCTTATTCTGCGTGTGTTTAAATGCATTGTGTAATGGAGAAGTGGAATGTTCATGAAATAAATCATTTTTCAGTATGACACCAAATGACAAATTCAGGGTGATCAATAATTAGCGTTACAATGTTTTCTGTACGTCTTATTTACAAAGTGAAAATCTCAAAATTAAAAACTTGTTCGATACATGATCTATTCAATATGCCATACTATATCATCAATGAGTTGATGAAGATTGGTTTGGTTTGGTTTACGGCATATCAACATCAATGGGTTATTCAATGCCGATAAATTTTTTATTGCTGGCAATATGTTTTTCTTCAAAAATCTATTTCTAGGAATATTTTTCCTTGAAGATATCTATAGGTGGTAATATTTTTTTTTCAAAAAATGTATAGCTGCTTGTATTGTTGGTATTTATTTTTAAAGTTTTGCTCATAATATTTTTTCTTCAAAAATTATTGCTAGTCATATTATTTTTTTAATTATTATTACAAAGTATTTCTGGAACTAAAACATATTTTTACACAAGTTTGGGTGTTAAGTATTTGCCCTAAGTTGGGACTCTAACAGGTCCTACCACCCCAGTTCAGGGAACATCAGCAATTATGAGGCGGCTTCATGCTCCTCAAAACCTCCTGATCAGAGGCCTTGCAGTTGGACGTAGTTTATCCTCTTACCCAGGACGCGGATGAAGTCTGTTGTCATACCCAGGACGGGTTGATGAAGATACTTCGGGTGTGTTTCTTATAAGGCACGTATAACAATATGGGACAATTTGTCCCATTCCTTCAAGAATTTTGTTTTTTTATACTTTAAACTCTGTTGTGGTGCAGCAAGAACTTTGCTTTCTAATATATCCCAAATGATGTAGGAAAGACGATGGAGATCTGGGGATGATTGACGCCATTCTCCCTATGAGAGGGAACCTGGTTTGCAAGCAACACTTGAGTCATTGTGTGTAATGTCTTTTAAGCCATTTCAGTAGCGATGACTCAAGAATATTCTTCACATATTTTCCTCGGAGGTGTTTAACAGCTTGTTACGCAAAACAGAAGAGGCTTTTTCCTGTCACAGCAGCTCACACCATCAAAGAGACCGCTAAATTTCTTCAGGTAAATGTCTGGGTCTCATTGCCGCAAGTTCGACAGCAAATACGATTCTTCTTGTTGTTAAAATGAGTTTAAACGTCAAATATCTTCTCATCAGTGGACACAAGTTTCGGCCACTTGCCTAGACGAATTCGATGACTTGAGGTTTGAAATGTTTCTCTACAAAGCTCGGAGATAACAATGTTTTGTTTTTTAAGGTGACCCGCAAAGATATTTATGGAGAGTGACTGACATGTTTCTGAAGGAGACATTCACCTCTTTCAGAAGATTTTTAAGAGACTTCTTCGGATTATTTCACGGATATTCCCGGGTAGATTGAACGAGTTCTTGGATTCAAGCATTTCGAGGAAGACTATATCCTTGCCTGTTCTTGACATCCCCAGTTTCCCTGAATATTTTGATGATCCCCAACTGGTATTTTGTTCACTTTTAATGGTTTGATATATGAGAGTTTGAAATTGATTGATGTTTATAATGTGACACTATTTAGGGTTGCGTGAAAAAAAAAAAGAAAAAAAGGCGAGAATTATATTAGGAGATAAGAATCTATCACGAAAAGACGATGTGATAAAGATTTTATTTTCATTAGCGAAGAAAGTAAGGTCGCGGATCTGTCGCGTTTGATTTATGACGGCGCATCGAATGGTGAAAATTTCAGGTCGGTCAGGTGGCCTACAGGGCAGAATTCTAACAGATAAAAATTAATTGGGTCGCGGGAAAAATGTCCGCTGGACCACCTACAGAGTTACAAAGAAAGAAAGACTGACCCATTAGCTATCTGCGGAGATGTTGTTTGGAAAAGGCACCTGTTTTATGTCAAGAGCTAGCCATGACAGCAAAATTATTTTCATCATCATCATCTTGCGGCCTCAGCCGCGATTGAACTCACTACACCTCTCCAGTATTCCCTATATGTCATATCACCTAAAAGATCTTCCTTAGGGATCAATTTGTCACGTTTTCTCCTATCTGGAAAGGTTAACTTGCGTGATCGATTGACAGATGATTGGTGCCTCCAGAGTACAAATGATGACACAAGTTCATCTGTGGCACGTGCACAATGCCCGACGAACTGGACACGTCTCTTACAAACTAAAGTTGATACTCTTGGCAAGTCTCCAAGTTTCAGAGCCATAGAGTAAGATTGGCTCAATAAGTACGCGGAAAAGTTGGATTTTGAATTGATGAGCAAGATTGGATTTCCAGATCTTATCCATTTTGTTACAAGTAGTCCATGCTATACCTTTTATAATGTTGAAGTCTTTCTCAGAGTTCTTGATGTGTGATCCTAGATACTTGTAGTCTTCGACACATTTGACGATGTTATCTGAGAGTGTTTTGATCTCATGATTGTTGCGAATGTTAATTGGCATACACTCAGTTTTAGTTTCATTTCAGTTAGCTGCTGATTCAAGAGAAGAAACGAGTGCTTGGGCACTAATGAGGTTGTCAGACAACAGTGCAATGTCATCGGCAAAATCAGCATCGGTGATGTAAAGTGCAGGATGACGTGAGCTTCTTCTAGGCTGATACATCAGACCATTTTCTTTGATTGCATCCACTGATATACGCATGATGTAGTCTATTACAATGATGAAAAGGAAAGGTGCAAGTGTATCACCTTGGAGAATTCCAGTCAGAATATAGAAAGGTTCTGTTTCTCCATTTGGGGTCAGGACAGTGGCCAGTGTGTTGGTGTACAATACTTTGATTGTTTCGATGATTTCTACTGGTATGCCGTAGAGTTTAAGAATTTCAAACATAGTCTCGGGGTTGACTGAGTCAAAAGTTTTGTTGAAGTCTACAAAGATAAGAGCTGCAGTTTTGTTGCAGAATGTGATTTCCTCAATTATTCTATGCAATGTGAGGATTTGTCCAAGAGTGGAACGACCTGGGCGGAAACCATTTTGGTTTTTGCGTAGAATGGGTTCAATTTCAGCGCGAATTCGATTTAGAAGAAGCTTGTTATAGATTTTCGCAGCTATAGGAAGCAACGAAATACCGCGATAATTGGTTGGTAATGTCAAATCACCCTTTTTGGAGAAAAGGGATGATTTACGATCGTAGCCAGATGGTTGGTGAAACGTGGCTGGCCTCTGCATAATTACACAGATCAAGAAGTAATTGGTGAAAAATAGGGTCCTTCCACAAGATGACCGGAATCTTGTCAGGACCAAGAGCTTTGTTCATTGTCTTCATTAGAACACATTTCAACTCTGCAATGATGAACTCTCCTGTTGATATGTTCAAAGCACTACTAATTTGAACTTTTGGGAGGGACACGTGATCAGAAAGACTTCCGGGATTACCAAGGAGGTTTTTGAAATGAGAAAACCAATTACCAAGCCGTTGCTCACGGCTGCCACCTTTAATTGTTGGTGGAAGTTTTGATCCCTTTCCCACGAGTTCATTTATAGTTTTCCAAGCTGCAGAGTGTTGTTGGTTGATATGAAGATGGGAAATATCAGTTATTTTCCCATTTATATAAGCTTCTTCAGCTTCAAGATAAGCATGGTCGAGGAATTTTTTTGCAGCTGTTAACTTCTTCCTATTGCTCTGAGAAGGTTGGCAGTGGTACATCGATGAGGTTTTCTTGAGATTTTCTCGAGCTTCTGAGATTTTGATGCCTGAACTAACTGGACTTCTTCGTGATTTTGGTTTTTTGAGGAGTGTAGATAGAGCCACCTCCTCTTTGGCTTTAATCAAGTTTCCATAAATCAGGTCTATGTTCCTTGAATCTAACCGAGAGTTCTCTGGGTCGTAGTGAAAGAGTTCTTGGAATCTGTTAAACACATTCACTGCATACTGAGATGATAGATTCTTGTCACGGTAGACCGCTTTCCAGTCAATAGTTTTCATGGGATCCGGAGTTGGTCTCTTCGAAATTCTAAAACTCAGTTTAACTGTGGCAGAGACGATTCG